GAGTGAAGTGCAGTTCATTGCACATACAATTTGGCCTTTGGGCTATTTGGACTGAGGCCATGCCCAGTCAGCCCCTCTCCTGGCTTCCTGTGCTTTAGTTTGGGTTCTTTCTCTCCCTCATCTCTCTATTTGCTATTTTAAAATTCATAATGAGTTCCTGCCCAGAGAGGCAGAGTGAGCACGGCTTCGAGATGCAGGCCTAGAATCCTGGCTCTCTGGCTTCCTGGCCGGCTGCCATCTGGGCTGAGTTCCCCAAGCCCTCTGGGGAGGTTCTGGGAAATTCAGGGTGCAGACACCAACCCACACGCCCAGCACTTCTCAGGCTTCTCTCCGGAACTGACTCAGCGCGTCCCTCTTACACCCTGGGAGGTGACTTCAGGCTGGCCCTAATTCTGACTCAAATCCTGAATTCCAGATTTTAGTTGGGATGTGGCCCAATGACAGGCTGGAGGCCATACAGCAGCTGCCCAGCAGCATCAGCCAGAGCTCAGGTTTTGGAGTCTGGTTTCAATCTGGACTCTGCTGTGTGACCTTGGGCTAGCTGCCTGCCCTCTCTGAGCCCCAGTTTCCTTGTTGGAGGGAATTAGCACCATTTCTCTCCTGAGCTGCTACTCAGAGTGAGCAAGAGGGTGCAGGCACCATGGTCAGCCCAGACCTAAGCAAGCAGCCAGGAGCAGCTGTCACAGAGGCACAGCCCTGGGGGGCGCTAGGGTGAGGCTGGCTTCACCCCTCCTCACATGGAACTTGGAAGCTGGTCTGCTTGCAGACACTGGGTGGGAGAGTCCTGACTCTGCTCACTTTCCCAACCTGCCTGTCTGCTCAGCTTTGGGCCCACAAGGGACTTCTAAGAGCTGCCAGGAAATGGTAGCCATTGTCCCACCCAGGGGGAGCTTACAGTCTAATAAAGACAACCTGGAACCTGGAATAGAAGCTTCCTGAGACAGCATGTCTGTGAGCCCGACTCCCCAGCACTGCCTGGTAGGAGGTGCGCATTCAGGAGGAAAGACCACAGGCCTGGACCCCGCTGCAGCTTGGTGCCCTCCCCACACCCATCTGCCGTCTCCCAAGCTCACATCTCCCAAGTGAAATGAACTGATTGTCAGGATGGGCTAAAGTTAGGCCAACGGTTTCCTGATTAAGGGCCCCATGTAGAAGGTCTAAGGTTTAAGATTTAAGAGATCAGCCTGCCGGGCCAGGGGGGAGTTGCTGAGGCCCCGGTCCTGAAACTTGAGCCTGCCTTTCTCATCCAGGAGCCCACGCTGAGATTAAACTTTAACCAACCCAATCAGGCAACAGCCCGGTTGATATTTCTTCTACAACTGTAATTCAGTAACATCACAACGTTGTGTCTTTTTTTTTTTTTTTAAATCTGCTTGACCTTCATTCTTGGTGCTGGAGAACCCAGAAGGCCGCTTAGCCCTCCCCAGCCCAGCCTTGGGGGGCAGTTCAGATGCCCCAGGCAGCCCAGCCCAGGCACAGTAAGTTTTGACCCCTGATGTCCCCTTCACAGAGTGTTGGAGCACCCAGCAGCCATTCCTGGAAACAGGGTAAGGAGGAGTTTCTTTGAAGCATCTCAGGGCATCTCAGGACTGACTCAACCGGTTACAGGACAGCTGCCCAAGCCCAACCCCGGCAGAGGTGAGAAGAGGGTCTTGGTGGCCCTGGATCTTGCACTCGCAGTTGATTCTAGCACCAGGCCGGGTGTACGACTGTTCGCTGATCCCCAGGACAGCTCTGTCCATGGCGTTCTCAGAGCTCTTGGAGCGAGCTGGGGGCGTGGGCCTCTTCCAGGCCCTGCAGGTCTTCACTCTCCTCCTCCCCTCCGTCTTGATACCCACCCAAATGCTTCTGGAGAACTTCTCGGCTGCCGTGCCTGGCCACCGCTGCTGGGAGCAGGTGCTGGACAATAGCTCCGAAGTCCTTGCAAACCTTACCCCTGAGGCCCTCCTGGCCATCTCCATCCCACCAGGCCCCAACCAGGGGCCCCACCAGTGTCGCCGCTTCCGCCAACCTCAGTGGCAGCTCCTGGACCCCAATGCCACAGCCACCAACTGGAGCGAGGCTGCCACGGAGCCGTGCCTGGATGGCTGGGTCTATGACCGCAGCACCTTCACCTCCACTGTTGTGGCCGAGGTAAGGGCCTCCCCCACACCCACCTCAAGTCCTGGCCCTTGGAGGTCAAAGTCACAGATCGCAGCTGGCTGGACTCAAAATGGTCCAGTCCTGGGAGGGACCCACCTTTTCAGGCCTCCTTCACTCTAAGGTCAGCTCTCAGCCCCTGGGTGGCAGGAATCAGTCTACGGACAAAGACTGGCCCCCCGGCTCCTCAAAGTGTGGGCGGCACCTGAGAGTGGGCACCTCTGAGCATTTGCACCTGGACACCTCACTGGCCTCACCCTGTCCCAACCCTGCTGACACTTATCAGCTGTGAGTCCCAGCAACGCAGTCACAGGGGGATATTGGAGCAAAGCTGGATTCTGGCTAAACCAACCTAACGGGATTCTTGCTAAGACAGGCCGGGTTGATCAGACATCACCTGCGGGATGGTGGAGGATGCGGAACCTGATCAGATGTTGAGGGTGATCAGATATAGAGGGTGTGGGGGGTTCTTGCTAAACTGACTTAGCAGGTTCATAGCTAAAACTGGATTTTACAAGGAAGTGCAAAGATGGGCCAAGCAGAAGATTCAGGAGCCTAATTCAAGTTTGGTTAGGCAAAGAATTTTTGTCACTGGACACATATTAAATGATTGCTTATAATGGTCCAGATTTGGACCTGGGCGAGGGTTACAGGCTGAACAGGAAACCTTTAAGGAGCATATGCTATACTAGTGAATTCACTACGTCAACTTTTAAACCAGTAATAGCAGAGCAACCCTCGCCTGCACCTTTTCAGTGGCAGTCATGGTTCCAAATGCTTTCCCTGTGGTCACATCCCTGCCACAATCTTGTGTGGGGGGGTCCTATTATAAGTAAGAAAGCAGAAGCACAGAGAGGTTAAGTAACTTGCCCCAGGACACACAGCTAACGTGCACTGGAATCTGATTCGGCCCAGGCAGCCGGGGCTGGAAGCTGGGCCTCTGTCACCCTACTGTCCTACCGGAAAAAGCAAGTGCTGCCAGTAGGGAGGGGAGAGGCAGGCTTCTCTCCTGTAGAGTGATTGGGAAAGACCTCTCTGGAGAGGTGATGTCAAAGATGAGCCATGGACGAGGAGAGGAGGAACCTGTCACGTGAAGGTCAGGAGAGCCAGCCAGGACAAAGGTCCCAAGTGGAGCTCAGCTGATGTTTGAAGGAGCAGAGTGAGGCCCAGTGTGTCTGGCACAGGTGGTGGGGGCCGGGGGCTTGGGGAGGACTCAATCAAAAGTGGATGGCCACCGTGAGCAGCCGGTTTTCTTTCAAGTGCAAAGGCGCATTGTGGTCATGGGAGGGTTCGGAGCAGGGAAGTGGTGTGGCCTGGTGTCCATTTCCAGGATGTCACTGTGCAGGTGGAGAAGCCCTGTAGGGGCAGGAGGCTCTCTGGAGGCTGCTGCGGTCACCCAGGCAAGAGAGGAGAGGCCGCGGAGGAGGGAGACAGGTGTGGCTGACAGGCTGCAGTGAAGGGCTGGATAAGGTCGGGATAGAGAGGAAGCTGCAGGGGACGTCCAGGCAATGGGTGCCCAGTCCTAACCTGCAGCACTGAAACAGTCCCAGTGAACCATGCCCCACCTCTCTAGTCATGCTCACACCCCATGGGAGGCTATTGCCCCAGAGAAGAGAAGACAGGCCCAGCAAGGGACGGGCACTCACCAAGGATCATCAGCCAGCACCCAGCAGACTTAGAATGCAAGTCTGTGGTGTAACCTCTGCCAGACACTGCCGACCATGCCAGACACTGCACAACACTGCCACACACTGCCCACCACTGCCACACACTGCCCACCACTGCCAGACAATACCGACCACTGCCACACACTGCCCACCACTGCCAGACACTGCCCACCACTGCCAGAAACTGCCCACCACTGCCAGACAATGCCAACCACTGCCACACACTGCCCACCACTGCCAGACTCTGCCCATCACTGCCAGAAACTGCCCACCACTGCCACCCACTGCCCACCACTGCCAGACACTGCCCACCACTGCCAGAAACTGCCCACCACTGCCAGACAATGCCAACCACTGCCACACACTGCCCACCACTGCCAAACACTGCCACACACTGCCGACCACTGCCACACACTGTCCACCACTGCCACACACTGCCCACCACTGCCAGACTCTGCCCATCACTGCCAGACACTGCCCGCCACTGCCACCCACTGCCCACCACTGCCAGACACTGCCCACCACTGCCAGAAACTGCCCACCACTGCCAGACAATGCTGACCACTGCCACACACTGCCCCCCCCTGCCACACACTGCCCGCCACTGCCACACACTGCCCACCACTGCCAGACAATGCCGACCACTGCCAGACACTGCCCACCACTGCCAAACACTGCCACACACTGCCAACCACTGCCAAACACTGCTACACACTGCCAACCACTGCCACACACTGCCCCTCACTGCCAGACACTGCCCACCACTGCCAGACACTCCCCCTCACTGTCAGACTCTGTGCACCNTTTTTTTTTTTTTTTAAATCTGCTTGACCTTCATTCTTGGTGCTGGAGAACCCAGAAGGCCGCTTAGCCCTCCCCAGCCCAGCCTTGGGGGGCAGTTCAGATGCCCCAGGCAGCCCAGCCCAGGCACAGTAAGTTTTGACCCCTGATGTCCCCTTCACAGAGTGTTGGAGCACCCAGCAGCCATTCCTGGAAACAGGGTAAGGAGGAGTTTCTTTGAAGCATCTCAGGGCATCTCAGGACTGACTCAACCGGTTACAGGACAGCTGCCCAAGCCCAACCCCGGCAGAGGTGAGAAGAGGGTCTTGGTGGCCCTGGATCTTGCACTCGCAGTTGATTCTAGCACCAGGCCGGGTGTACGACTGTTCGCTGATCCCCAGGACAGCTCTGTCCATGGCGTTCTCAGAGCTCTTGGAGCGAGCTGGGGGCGTGGGCCTCTTCCAGGCCCTGCAGGTCTTCACTCTCCTCCTCCCCTCCGTCTTGATACCCACCCAAATGCTTCTGGAGAACTTCTCGGCTGCCGTGCCTGGCCACCGCTGCTGGGAGCAGGTGCTGGACAATAGCTCCGAAGTCCTTGCAAACCTTACCCCTGAGGCCCTCCTGGCCATCTCCATCCCACCAGGCCCCAACCAGGGGCCCCACCAGTGTCGCCGCTTCCGCCAACCTCAGTGGCAGCTCCTGGACCCCAATGCCACAGCCACCAACTGGAGCGAGGCTGCCACGGAGCCGTGCCTGGATGGCTGGGTCTATGACCGCAGCACCTTCACCTCCACTGTTGTGGCCGAGGTAAGGGCCTCCCCCACACCCACCTCAAGTCCTGGCCCTTGGAGGTCAAAGTCACAGATCGCAGCTGGCTGGACTCAAAATGGTCCAGTCCTGGGAGGGACCCACCTTTTCAGGCCTCCTTCACTCTAAGGTCAGCTCTCAGCCCCTGGGTGGCAGGAATCAGTCTACGGACAAAGACTGGCCCCCCGGCTCCTCAAAGTGTGGGCGGCACCTGAGAGTGGGCACCTCTGAGCATTTGCACCTGGACACCTCACTGGCCTCACCCTGTCCCAACCCTGCTGACACTTATCAGCTGTGAGTCCCAGCAACGCAGTCACAGGGGGATATTGGAGCAAAGCTGGATTCTGGCTAAACCAACCTAACGGGATTCTTGCTAAGACAGGCCGGGTTGATCAGACATCACCTGCGGGATGGTGGAGGATGCGGAACCTGATCAGATGTTGAGGGTGATCAGATATAGAGGGTGTGGGGGGTTCTTGCTAAACTGACTTAGCAGGTTCATAGCTAAAACTGGATTTTACAAGGAAGTGCAAAGATGGGCCAAGCAGAAGATTCAGGAGCCTAATTCAAGTTTGGTTAGGCAAAGAATTTTTGTCACTGGACACATATTAAATGATTGCTTATAATGGTCCAGATTTGGACCTGGGCGAGGGTTACAGGCTGAACAGGAAACCTTTAAGGAGCATATGCTATACTAGTGAATTCACTACGTCAACTTTTAAACCAGTAATAGCAGAGCAACCCTCGCCTGCACCTTTTCAGTGGCAGTCATGGTTCCAAATGCTTTCCCTGTGGTCACATCCCTGCCACAATCTTGTGTGGGGGGGTCCTATTATAAGTAAGAAAGCAGAAGCACAGAGAGGTTAAGTAACTTGCCCCAGGACACACAGCTAACGTGCACTGGAATCTGATTCGGCCCAGGCAGCCGGGGCTGGAAGCTGGGCCTCTGTCACCCTACTGTCCTACCGGAAAAAGCAAGTGCTGCCAGTAGGGAGGGGAGAGGCAGGCTTCTCTCCTGTAGAGTGATTGGGAAAGACCTCTCTGGAGAGGTGATGTCAAAGATGAGCCATGGACGAGGAGAGGAGGAACCTGTCACGTGAAGGTCAGGAGAGCCAGCCAGGACAAAGGTCCCAAGTGGAGCTCAGCTGATGTTTGAAGGAGCAGAGTGAGGCCCAGTGTGTCTGGCACAGGTGGTGGGGGCCGGGGGCTTGGGGAGGACTCAATCAAAAGTGGATGGCCACCGTGAGCAGCCGGTTTTCTTTCAAGTGCAAAGGCGCATTGTGGTCATGGGAGGGTTCGGAGCAGGGAAGTGGTGTGGCCTGGTGTCCATTTCCAGGATGTCACTGTGCAGGTGGAGAAGCCCTGTAGGGGCAGGAGGCTCTCTGGAGGCTGCTGCGGTCACCCAGGCAAGAGAGGAGAGGCCGCGGAGGAGGGAGACAGGTGTGGCTGACAGGCTGCAGTGAAGGGCTGGATAAGGTCGGGATAGAGAGGAAGCTGCAGGGGACGTCCAGGCAATGGGTGCCCAGTCCTAACCTGCAGCACTGAAACAGTCCCAGTGAACCATGCCCCACCTCTCTAGTCATGCTCACACCCCATGGGAGGCTATTGCCCCAGAGAAGAGAAGACAGGCCCAGCAAGGGACGGGCACTCACCAAGGATCATCAGCCAGCACCCAGCAGACTTAGAATGCAAGTCTGTGGTGTAACCTCTGCCAGACACTGCCGACCATGCCAGACACTGCACAACACTGCCACACACTGCCCACCACTGCCACACACTGCCCACCACTGCCAGACAATACCGACCACTGCCACACACTGCCCACCACTGCCAGACACTGCCCACCACTGCCAGAAACTGCCCACCACTGCCAGACAATGCCAACCACTGCCACACACTGCCCACCACTGCCAAACACTGCCACACACTGCCGACCACTGCCACACACTGTCCACCACTGCCACACACTGCCCACCACTGCCAGACAATACCGACCACTGCCACACACTGCCCACCACTGCCAGACACTGCCCACCACTGCCAGAAACTGCCCACCACTGCCAGACAATGCTGACCACTGCCACACACTGCCCACCACTGCCAGACACTGCCCGCCACTGCCACACACTGCCCACCACTGCCACACACTGCCCGCCACTGCCACACACTGCCCACCACTGCCAGACAATGCCGACCACTGCCAGACACTGCCCACCACTGCCAAACACTGCCACACACTGCCAACCACTGCCAAACACTGCTACACACTGCCAACCACTGCCACACACTGCCCCTCACTGCCAGACACTGCCCACCACTGCCAGACACTCCCCCTCACTGTCAGACTCTGTGCACCACTGCCAGACACTGCCCGCCGCTGTCAGACACTGCCCGCCGCTGTCAGACACTGCCTGCCACTGTCAGACACTGCCCACCACTGCCACACACTGCCCGCCACTGTCAGACACTGCCCGCCATTGCCTGCAAAACCTTTTTACAAAGAAATTGTTGACATTCCCACCATTTCTGCTGCTTGGGCCCTCCTACTGCGTGATCGGGAAGCTAGATCCCAGCCTTGTGGCCATCAGGTGCCCGGCTGTGTCAGGTTCTGTCCTGCAGCCGGGCACCCCTCTACCTCTGTGGCCTGGCAGTAGGAATCTAGGGACCCCACTGTGGGGGCTGTACCTTGAGGACCCAGGCTGACCAGGTGACTTGCCTCGGCCACTACAGCCCTGCTATTCCTGTCTCCTGAGTCAGGTTGTCCCCCCTCCTCTTCCAGTGGGACCTGGTGTGTGGCTCCGAGGGCCTGAAGCCCATGGGCCAGTCCATTTTCATGGCCGGGATCCTGGTGGGAGCCTTTGTCTGGGGCCTTCTCTCCAACTGGTAAGTGTCTCCTGCCCTCCCAGCTCCCTGGGGCTACAAAGCAGGTTGCGAGGGCAGAGGGTGCAAAAATGTCAGGTGAATACCAGTGCTCCCTAAGAGAGGGGCTCCCGGTCTGACTGCACATCCCCAAGCCCCGGCTGACAGCGACTCCCAAGAACCCAGCTGAACCTCGATGCCAAGTTAGGCTGTGCTACGAGAAACTGACCTGCGGCTGCTGCACCACGGTTTACTGAGCACCTACTGTATGCCGGGCACTGCACGCCCCTGCCCTCTTGGAGAGACAGATTCCTCTTTCTTTTAACTCCAGGTATACGACAGCCTATGAAATAAAAAATACTGAGGACGTGGCAGCAGGGACAGGGCCAGACCTGACCTGGGGGCGTGAGAGAGCTTCTTGGAGGAAGCTACGTCTGAGCAGAGACCTAAAGGGGGGGCTGAGATGCGGAGAGAGCAGGGAGCGACGGGGTTGTCTGGTGTGTGCTGAGCTGAGTCTGTGTGCAGTCAGGGGACAAATGGCATCACATGTACCACACGGGCCTGGAGCGGTGGGCACAGGCTGGGAACCAGCATCTGGCAGCCAAGTTAAGACACCTGCTCTCTCTAAAGACGCAAACCCGCCGTCCTGCACTCTCTGCTGATGGTCTGTGTCATGTGCTTGAGAAAACCAAAGCCACTGGATGGGGGTCCTTCTGCCCTCACTCAGGTGACAGTACTTGAATCTGAGCCCATGCACTCTCCTGGCTTGTGCTGGGGAGGGAAACTGAGGCCAGCCCTACACCTGGGCCCAGCCCCTAGCAGCTGCTTAGGGACACTGCCTCTGTCCCCCCACAGGCCTCCGTCTCCCCTGCAGCCATCCCCACCAACCCAGAGGCTGCTCCAGTCTCCTCCCCAGCCCCTGGCTGCTTCCCCCCTGCCCAGTGAAACCACCCCAGGGCCACCTCCCATCACTTCCTGTCCTCCTTCCACACTCCAGTCAGACGTCACAGCCTCCAGCATGGTGCCACAGAACATTCTTGCCACATAACTGCCATTGCCTCTCTGTCAACCTCTCCCTGCCACCTATCCCCATCCCAGGGCCTTCCCTGCATGCCTCACGTGAGCCAAGCACCTGCTCTGTCCCCAATAAGCAGAGATGGGTGGGAAGGGGTGGAGAGGGTGGCTGCCACGTGCCTGCTCCCTGGAGCCTAGAACCAAGGCAGACTCTGGGCATGCAGGACACAGAACAGTAAGTCAGGCCACCTCAGAGGAGGCCAGGACAGGGGGAGCCAGCTGGATGGATTGGAAACTTCTCTACCGGCTGATGAGAAAAAAAGTTCACCTCAACGTGCTTTCTTCTCTTGGCTTCCAGAGCATCCATGCTCCTGGTTTACCTCCACCTCCCAGGCAGCTCCTCCTGCTCCCCCTCCCGGCTCGCAGACCCCAGCTCAGGGCACTCCTCAGAGAGTCCCCACCCCGGCTCCGGCTCCGACGACTGTCCCCAGCTGCCTGGCTTCCCTCGTCACAGCGCCTCGCTCTGACAGCACCTGGCTTGCTGTCTGCCCGTTGGCTCATGGTCTGTGTCCCCACGGGAATGCACGCTTCATGGAACACAGGGATATGGGGGCCCAGCACCCAGCACAGTGCCTGGCATGTGGCAGACACTGTCATTATTTCGTGAAAGGATGAACAGCTCCCGACTTTATCCTGACCACTACACGACGACCACCCACACAGGTTCTGGGGTCTGTCCACCTGGGTCCGAATCCCAGCCTTGACCTAGGAAACCGTTTCTTCCCTTCTCCAAGCCTCAGTTTCCTCCCATCGATGGGGACTCTAGCACCTGCCCATGTGGCTATTTGAGGATTAAGCGTGTTAATCACACACACACTTGGATCAGGGCCTGGCACGGAGTCAGTGCTCTGTGCTGTAGATACGGTTCCTGTCACAACACCATCCTGAGAGCAGCCGGCCTGAGCAGCAGGGAGGTGGTCCAGTCTGCTGCTGTCTCCATCCCGACTGGCTCCCATGTTAGTTGCACTAAATGCAGCCAGGGGTTGGGCTGAGCTGGCCTGGAGGCAGTGGCAGCACAGCGAGGGTCTCACTGGACCTCCATTCTGCGCACAGGGAGGAGAGGGCTGGAGCGGGGTCTCATGGCCGTGGCCCCTACACTGCCCCTGGCACGGTGCCTTAATTTTCACAGCAACCCTCTGAGGCCATCATTATGAATACCCCCATTTTATAAGTGGGGAAACTGCCTCAGGGACATCGAGTCACCTGCCCAAGGTCACCCAGGAGAGGCAGAGCTGGACTCACACCCAGGCGTCTGATGCCAAAGCCTGTGTTCTTGACCATGAGGCCATACTGCCCCCTGAGAGCAAGGCACCTGCCATTTTTATAACAGAAGCTGTGCAAACGTGCCCCCAAAGGCTCCAAGAAGGAGGAGCTGCCTGCACTAGGACCCTGACTCTGTAGAGCCCTCGGAGGGCAAGCATCTGCCTGCGCGCCAAGGTCCCCAGGGCCCCCTCCAGGCCCGCATGCTTGTTGCCACTACAGGTTCGGGCGGAAGCGGATGCTGAGCTGGTGCTGCCTGCAGGTGGCCGTGGTCGGCACCAGCACCATCTTGGCCCCGAATTTCCTCATCTACTGTGGGCTCCGGTTTCTGAGCGCTTTTGCATTGGCTGGCATCATCCTCAGCTCGACAACTCTGAGTGAGTCCCTCGCTCAGCCTGCTCCTGCCACGCAGGGTGGGAGGGGACGGGGCCCAAGGCCACCACGCGGCCTCACCTGCACGTCTGCATTGCTTTTCAGTGGTGGAGTGGACCACAACCCCCGGGAGGGCTGTCACCATGACAATCCAGGGATGTACGTACAGCATAGGCCAGACGGCGCTGGCTGGCCTGGCCTTCGCCCTGCGGGACTGGCGAGACCTCCAGCTGGCCGTGTCGGTGCCCTTCTTTGCAGTCTCCCTAATATCCTGGTCAGTGCAGTGTGGGGCCTGTTCCCTTGGGAGACCCAGGGTAGGAGGGTGTCCCTTGGTTCCCACTGCCCTGGCTGGCCACCGTCCCAAGCTGTGGGAGCCACAAAAGGGCAAGGAGGGCACAGGGCCCCATGGGGAGAGGTGTTCTAGGCTCAGAGTTCTAGGGTGAGCATTTCAGCTGGAGTCTGTGGCCCCCTCCAGCCTGGCCAGGCATTAATTGGCCAGCACAGCATTGGTTCAAATGAAGATTTTAAAAAAAAATATATATATTTGTAGGGCCGGCCCGGTGGCGCACTCGATAGAGTGCGGCACTTGCCCACCGAGGGTTCGGATCCCATACAGAGACCGGTCAGCTCACTGGTTGAGCGCAGTGTGGGCGCGACACAGAGGGTTGCGATCCCGTTACCGGTCACGAAAAAAAAAAAGACAAAAAGGAAAAAAATATATATATTTGTAACTATTCGCCAACATTTAAATATCAGGAGATATTTAAAAACAAAGAAAAACAGTATTCCTACCTTCTTTTGAAATATTGGAAGATCCAGGGACACAGTTATTCCCAGTTCCCCAGTGCTCGGGGCTGAGGCTGTGGGTACCCTCCTTCTCATACCGTTGCCCCAGTCCCCCCACCCACCAGCCCCCCACCCACCTTTCCACCACTTGCCAGCTTGTGGGCATCCAAGTCAGTGAAGACCACCGTCGATATGAAAATACATCACTCTCACTATTATTTTTGGTACTGCCAAAATCCCTGGGGTCTGGAAGTACCTCCCTGGGTGGGGCCTGGGGGGAGAGATACAGGGAAACAGACACAGATTAATGTCTGCATAAGTTCCCTTGTGCCATGAGCCAGAGCCGGGCAGGCCTGGGCCCAGGCGAGTCTGCGGCGGGCTGTGGAGAAGAATGCAGGTTCAGCCACTCATTTGCAAGTATGTACTGAGCTCCTGTCCCATGCCAGACACGGTTTTAGGCATTGGAGACACACCAGTGAACAAAACAGACAAAAAGCCACTGGCCACACGGAGTTTATATTGTATAAACAGGATCCATAAGCAAGGAGGAAAACCATCCCATAATTACACGTATTAGGCCGTCCTGGTCACACTGGCCGGTACCAGATGCAGTTCATCACACCAGATGTATTAACACATCTTCTAATAAGGAAGATGATGTTTTTACCACCATTTTCAGATGAGGGACCAAGGCCCAGAGAGGTGAAGTCACTTGCCCAAGGTCACACAGCTGATGAGTGCCAGAGGCAGGATTTGAACCCAGGCAGGCTGGCTCTTTTAACCGCTCTGTCAAACTGCCTCTGAAAGTTCTTCTTAGCTTCCCTACACACAGCGCCGAGCCTGCTGTGCTGGGCAAACTATGCCTTTCACCAGGGAAATGCTTCTCCTGGTGAAATGCTTCTCCTGAGGCTGGAGAGAAGCAGACTGGTTTTATAAAATCATTCAGTTCTGCCTGGGAATGTTTTAAATGTGCTTTTGAAAAAACAGAAAAACTCAGCACCATGTGACTTTTCTATCACAGAAATGGAGCCAGAACCACTGGAGAAGTGGCTGAGTCTAGGGGACACGCCAGGCCCAGGCAGCCTGTGTACTAGCTGTACCCGAGGCTCAGCTGGGCTCCTGGCAGCCAGGGCAGCCAGACACAGGTGTCACAGGGAATAAGAGGGTGCCCAGGCCTTGAGACTCAGCTTTATTCTGAAACTGTTGGGAACTGCCAGTCTCCCAGCCTGGCATCAGCAGCACAGAAGCATCTGCCTTCTCTTCCCATGTGTATCTCAGCTGGGCGGTCCACTGCCCACCACCCCTTCCCACCTGACCCAGGGGAGCGCCCAGGGTGCCCAAGAAAAGCAAATCCCTGCCAAGCGCCTGCTTCTTCAACAGGTGGCTGCCAGAATCTGCCCGATGGCTGATTATCGTGGGCAAACCAGACCAAGCACTTCAGGAACTCAAAAAGGTGGCCAGGATCAATGGCCACAAGGAAGCCAAAAAGACACTGACCACAGAGGTGAGATGCTGCTGTTTGTGACCCAGACTATGAGACTCGACCCAGTAAAGGACATCCACTGATGCATTACCTGTATTATCACCAGTGTCACCACCACCCGCTCCACCGCTACCTCCATCAGCACCAATAGCATCACCATCAGCCCGCCTACAAAACACCAACATCAACGCCACTGTCATCACCGTCGCCATGTGCACCATCACCACCACCGATAACCACACATCATCACCACCATCACTGACGCTTTGCAACCATGCACACCCCAGCATCACCTCCACCAACACCTCCACCACCAGCAACACCATCACTAACGTCACTGTCAGCACCTCTGGAAGACGTCGTCACCAGCACCCCCCTCACAGCAATACCACCACTCTCAGCACCACCCACACGCTCACCTCTCTTCCCCACCACCTCAGTTTCCAGAAGCCAAGGCCCAGGCAAGGCTCCCTCATCACTCTGCCCAGCTGGACACCATTTCCTCTCTGGCACCCGGGTGGGGCAGGGCCATCACCCCAACATTCACTGTGTCCCGTTCTCCCTGGAGGTGCTGATGTCCAGCATGGAGGGGGAGGTGGCCTCTGCAAAAGCCCACCAGTCAGTGCTGGACCTGTTCCGTGTGCCCGTGCTGCGCTGGAGGAGCTGGGCCATGCTGGTGGTAAAGTACGCCATCCTGGGCACCCCTCCCAGAGACGGGGCTGGGACAGCGGGGAGCGGGGAAAGCAGCAGCTGGGGGCCTCGGGTGCGTTTCTGGCTGGGATGGGAAGCAAGCACCCCCAGGGGCAGGGTCCTGGCCCATGCGTAGAGGGAGTGTGTGCAGGGGTGTCTAGAGGCCACACATGCCCACTGGTGAGGCACGGCTAGGTTGGTGGTCCCAGGCAGGGGACCAGGGTTAGGCTGAAGCCCAGGACAGAGGCAGTCTGGGTCCCCAGAGCCAGGGGAACTGCAGTAGCCGAGGAGGACCACTGCCTGCTGACGTTGGAGATGCATCCTCACAGCCACGCTCTAGAAGCTGACTGCACACTGGCATTCACTTACCCCTCATAGCAACCCCAATTCACAGATGGGGAAAGTGGAGTCCAGATGGGTAAGTAACTCGCCCAACATGATGGAGCTGCCATCTGAACCCAGTCTGAGCCACCACCCAGCTTGTGGCCTCTGTCACTCGCCAGACCCTTCATTGAGACATGGACTCCCCACCCCACCGTGGGAGGCCCTGCCTCAGCACCCAAGGGCACCCGGGACCAAGAACAGTCCCCTCAAACAGATTCAGTTGAAGTGATATCCAAAGAACACATTAAAAAGTGAGGATCAGATTTGATTGGGACTTTATCTTGAAATAAAACTAAACATTAGGAAAACATTTATTTTATGCTATATTTAACCATATATGGGTTATAATGGCAAATATTTGCTACATCTTAGAACAAAGAATGGGTTGAATGCTTTTTGGGGAGGGGGTTAATTTCTTTCCTGATAAGTGAGAAGGCCTGGTGCTGCGAACATCCGGGCCATGTTTTGGAAAACCTTCAGGCTCCCTCAGTTCTCCCAGGGGCTTTTCTCGTCTCAGGGAGACAGTTAACCCAGTTGTTACCCCTCGAAGGTTCCAGATCCTCACGTGTCAGCCTTTTGAGCGCCAGCCAAGCGAGTCTCCCCCTTCACTCGCATGAACCTCGTGGAACTGTGGGTCCTGCGTGAATTGCAGTCTCGCTGCGCAGTTGTTGGCCCCGAGTTGTCAGGTGTTTATTGGGTGAAGCAATCAGGTGACACTGAAGGGAAAGGCTGAGATGAGGGTCCGGGGCAAGCAGGGGTGGGGACAGATTATAAAAGTGGTCCAGAATATTTTCACATAGGAGCCCTTTGTGGATCCAAATATCCAAACTGTGGACATTCAGATGCTGTAAGTTCAGCTGCTCAGGAGCTCAGGGGGGGAGTCCCCAGGAAGCAGATCTGAGATGGGGAAGGGAGGGGACGGTGGGGGAAGTGGCTGTGATGCCAGGCTTAGGAACTGGGGCGGCCAGTCATGACACTGTCCCCAGATGTGGGGCATCACTCCCAGGCTGGAGAACAGACTCTCTGTCCAGAATGAGGTCCGGGCAGCGCAGCCCTGCATCCCCCAGAGACCCCATCCTTTTTTTTTTTAATTTTAATTTTAATTTTTTAAAAAATTTTATTTTGTGGATATACAATGTGGTTGATTATTGTGGCCCATTACCAAAACCTCCCTCCCCCTCCCTCGCACCCCCCACCCAACAATGTCCTTTCTGTTTGCTTGTCGTATCAACTTCAAGGAACTGTAGTTGTTATGTCTTCTCCCCCTCCCCCAGTTTTTTTTTTGTGTGTGTGTGTGTGTGTGTGTGTGAATTTATTTATTTTTAGCTCCCACCAATA